GACTACATTAGACATGGATATAATTATAGTTCAAGTAGTTCAATTACTACAAGCATAATCTCATACTTCACCTCCTTGAGGTTCAAAACATTCTTTCAATCATCACACTTAAGGTTCAAGCACTAGACATGAAAATCATCCTAACTCTTGTGATTTTATCACTTCATGCATTCAAACATTCATGAGGTAAATTAGGTAGGTAAGGTCCTTTCTCAACAACTCTACCTAATAGTCTACCATTATCATATAGACTTCACTCTCAAAGCCCTGTCATTCTTAATTCATCATGTTAGCTTTACTCTCAAAGCACTAGTGATCAACATTCACAACTACAAGCCCTACTCTCAAAGCACTAGTGATCAACATTCACAACTACAAGCCCTACTCTCAAAGGACTATTGATCAACATTCACAACTACAAGTCCTACTCTCAAAGCTTTTACTCCTTACAATCATCATACATACTTAGATCACAAGACCTTCTAGTCACAAGCTTCATTCTTAAGCAATTCTAGTCATAATTCACCATAAAGGCTCAATATCAATCATTACTATTCATGATCCATCATATATACTTTAATCTAATTCAATTCATTTCTATATACCTTCATTCTTAAACAACTACTACATATGTCATCAACCCTAGAAGATCATCTCTAAACCCTCAATTTCCCTCTTTAGGGCACAAACCCACATTACTTCAATTTCATCAATTAGACTAGGGTTAGGCATAGAAATCATCTAATATCATATTTAGGTGCTCTTATCTCAAGCAATTCATAAAGAAATTCATCAATCTTAGAAGGTCACATCTAAGCCCTCAACTTCCCCTTTCATGGCATAAAACCAAACTATATCAATTTCACCCTAGAATCTTAGGTTAATCAAGAATACATGTAAAATCATACTAAAAACATGTAATTACATCATAAACAATCATTATTCACTCGATTGGATCAACATATAACAATACCCACAATATAGGAAGGAACCCTAACTAGAATTGGGGATTCATCTTCACAATTGGGGGAAACATGGGGGCTTCATGGATGAAAGGGATTCATGAATCAATAAGTCATCATACCTTGATTACAAAGCCTAGCAAGCTTGAAACAATGGAGTTTTGACCTAGCTTGATCCTCTTTCACTTTCTAGAGAGAGGATTTTTGGGAGAGAATTGGGTTTCTTTTGGGGGTTTAGAATTAATGATTTGGAATCACTAAATTAAGGGTCTAAATTCTTTATATAGGTGTTCTAAAGGCTAAAACGATATTACTTAATCCCACTTTAAAATAGGAAAACCTCAAAGTGCCCCTCTATTTACTTCTTAAAAATCGTCTCCAGGCACCATCCACGACCACCCACCTACGGGGTGTGGACCCACCCACGGGGCGTGGGTCTATCCGTAGGTCACTGTTTTGGGCAGAAAAGTTAGGGTCCTACTCAAGGACCCTTGGTTGGTCCTTGGGGGGTCGTATCTTGACGTTATAACACGAAACCCTATATTTTTAGGTATAGGGAGTTTCATTCAAGACTCTAATCCTAATGTCAAGCTCTAGTTTAGCCTACTAGTTTCTGAGGTGTTACACTTGGTCAGCAGGTAATTGAGTGTAATTGACAATGGTAATTACACTCTCCAATTCTCAGGTTTGTGAATGGATGGTAATTACTATCCTAGTAATTACACTAATTTCCATTATCAGGTAGCTTTCCAAACAGACCCTAAATCTTTTTGGGTACAAAATCGTCTATGATAGGGTGTACTTTACTCATAATGTGAATTTAGATTTAGTCAAGCTCCAATATGGAATAGGACACGGGATTGGAGATAAAAAAAAAATCATCTTTTATTCTTGGTTAATTAATACGGTTCACTTTTCTTGTCTGCTATTTTCAAAATAGATTTTTCTTTTTTATTGTTATTTTTAACATATTAAGAAAAGATAATTATTTTCTTCTATATTTTATCCTTTAGCATTAATTATTTATTTCTAAAATTATTTTTCTAGATCTAATACAAAGTATTAAGTACTAGTAATCAATAGGAATAATCTAGTAAAAGTGAACTGAGAGAGTAATTAATATTATATGGTCCAATTTAAGTGTTTTATTTTCTTTTATTTTTTTAGTTTGTCTCCAAAAATACATCTTTTTTTTTTATATTGTAAGTTTTCTAATTATAATATTCTACATGGTAAATTTAAGACCACAAGATTTAAAAGACTATACACATCTTTTATTTGAGATCATAAAATTCAAATGACTCTTTTTATTTCTTAAATTCGTGCCTAGTCAAACTTAAATTAGGACGGAGGGAATATATTCTTACTATATGTTCAATTATTAGGACATATCCATTTGACTATAAAAAAATATTCACTTTTTTCGAAATAATTTTTTCACTTTATTTGAAAATAAATGTTTGGTCAACCCATGAAAACTTTAAATTTGAAAAATAACTTATATTTAACATGTTTTTCAACCCGTCATTCACTTTTAAATTGTATTTAAGTAATTCAAGCCTAAGTATTATTTTAAATATTCTTTGCAAAATGTAAGATCAAATATAACTCAATATATTCCAATAAAGTTTTTCTAAAATATTTAAAATCTTTGATATTTCGTATGATATTTTTCAATTTTTAATCAGACATTTTAGGATCGAGCCAAAAAAAAATGAATCGTCTAAAAAGCGGTTTTTTTTTTCAAAATAACGTCTTTAGGCATGAGTTCTAATTAGTGAAAACCCAAAACAAATATCAAACATTAAGAGGAAAAAAATAAGATCTGATAGAAATGAATAATCTACTTCTTTATATATATTCTTATTTATTAATCAATATTAAGTGAAGAAAATCTCTATATGGCTAAACTCAGTGGAAGTAACATTTTTACAAGCTCGTTTGATTTGGTTATTAATTAATTGTGTTGTGTTTAGTAAGCTTTGAGGTTAAGTTGAAATAACTTACTATGTATCAAATGCCAATTAACAAAAACCAATGATACTTAACATTCCATGCGTTCATTTTTATTTTATTCATTATATCAAAAATATGTATTCATTTCTACTTGTCCAATTTAAAGATTTAAGAGATAATTCACCATTTTATACTTATTATTAAAACTTTAATATTTTCAATTCATTTTCCGACATTAGATGACTTATAATAATTAGGATTCGTTAATTATTTCTTAAGGAGTGTGTTAAGTCAAACACAAATTAGTAAATAGAGAAAGGAAATAGTAAAACAAACTTAAATATCCTTAAAATTCAAAAATAAACCTGAAATTGACATTGGATGGAAACAATAATAAATAACAAAAAAAAGAAAATATAACAGTGCAATATAATTATACGTATTTTTGGGACCATTAAAGTGGTGAGAAAGAATACAACAAAAAAGACACATTGGAAGTTTCCAAGTTTTTGAGCTTATGTGCATATTTTTCCTCAAGATGCTTCAAGGACAAGTGGAGTGGCCAATCAAAAAATGCTTTAATAATCAATATTTGAATCACTTGTAAATAACTAAATATTTAAACACCACTTGCATTATAATTGAGAAATTGTCACTTTTAGTACTCTTTTCGTCTCCTTTTAGTTGTCATGATTTCCTGTTTTAGAGTCAAACAATAAGAACTTTGACTAACATTTTATGATATATTTTTCATCATATTGATATGTAAAAATTGCAATTTATAATACTTTTCATATAATGTATTTGTTGTTAAACCTAATTTATCACTATATGTAGTAAAAAAAATTAGAACTCTCTCTACCAATGATAAATAAAGGGGATATGTTTACCATGTCTCATAATTCTTTAAATTTAGCTTTAGGTATTTTTGTTCAAATCAGCATACAAAATGACTATATATTGAATAGTTTTAAAACGTTAGCTAAAGATTAATAGCGATCATGGCTATTTACCAATTTCATCCAAAAATATTTGGGCTAAACCTATGCTAATTGGATTTGTAATGTGAAATGGACGAAAAGGCGTTCTCCAGTGAAAAATATTAACAACATGCTTATACTTTGTAGAGAGAAGTATTGAAAACACATATGATCTAAACATGAATTATTAGTTTTATCTCTGAACTATTGTCAACCCTAAAAACATTCTTCTATTTGACTAACTAAACTTGGGTACATGAGGCTCTTAGTAAAAAGCCTAGAGAAGTGTATCACATGACATAGCAAGTCGTTTCAAATTCTTGTAGGAGCATAAGGCTCTTAATAAAAAGCCTAGAGAAGTGTTAAAAACACCCCTAAACTAGGCGAGAATTTAAGAGCGTATTTCACTCATTAATATTTTTAATATTTTTAGTACATCTAAAAATATTGATAGTTTTTCTATATAAAAGATAGTATTTGTTTTTCTTGTCTGCCTCAAATGATTTTGGGTTTAATGAATAATGTGATGATATTTATTATGATTGAATTTATTTTAAAATGCTCAAGAAAAATTGTAGAGGTTAATAATAGTATTTCTAATAGTTGCTGATGATGTAATTAATCACTTCATAGTATAAAAATTGAGGTGAATTTCAAGACACAAGCTTGATGTAAGCCACCTTCAACCTCTCAGCGTCAAATGAGACCCATAACCCATTCATAGCACACAAACTTTAACTGTCGGCTTTCATTTTCAGTTCTTTTTTACGCGTTTCATGATCTGTAATCCTTACCTGCAACCCCCCATCACCCGGCTCCGACTAGTCAACCGCGTCTCAGGGGAGAATACCATAGTTAATAATGCTCTATGAGTCAAGACAGAAGCCCAGAACACGAGTCACATTCAAATTAAAAGGATTTCAATGTATAATGACTTGTGTATACTAATAAACTACAAGAAAGACTCATAATATACTGTATAATTAAGCCGAGTCTCCACTTCCTTTTCCATTTTTCTTTCTGTTAAAACTTTTTTCGTGACAAGTATTACCTTACTTCTACTTTGGATATTATATGGTGCACAGTGTAGATAGTTTGCATGGCATCATGTACCCATCCAGCTTGTTGTCTCTGAGATAACTATACCAATGGAGTCTCGGTGATTGGTGGAGAAATCTGAAGCCCCAGTCTCGATGTCCATCCTTTCCGCTGCCTATAGGCCTCAACTGCTTGCAATCGAAGTCTTTCTTTTGAAGCATCATGTGCATTATTCTTGAATGCCTTCATAATAAGAACACAAGTATGGTTTACCATATGAATATCAGTGTATACAAGGTCAATGTCATAAGCATAGGCAAAGTTCATGTCAATGCGAGTGTGTATAATACAGTATAAAACTATCCAGATGTACCTTTGGGACTGCAAGCTTAGGTGGAGCTTCAACGACTTCACCAAATTTTATTTCTTCACGACCAGGAAAATCCATGTGTTCATCAGTATTGCCCTTTTTGTGTTTCTTTTTCATATCTGCCAAACGCCTGCATACATCCAAATTAAAACCATTCGGTAACAACCTGTAGACAATGCAATGCCTAAAACCAGTCCCCCACCCCTCGGAACAAAAAAAAAACTAAAAAAAAAAAAGAAGAGAAATGAAACATGTCACAAAATGAGTATATATGTGAAATCATTATTACATTTGCTTCAGCAAAGAAAGGTTAATTTGGGTGAATCCTTTTTCATTTGCTTACAAACAGAAGTCGCTCGATTACCCAAATTTGCTTATAAAATATGAAATTGAAAGGAATAAAGTGCGCACATACACATAGACAATAGAACAATGATCAACTACTTGTTACGTCAAGGAGTAGAAAGTTATCTGAAGAAAATACCTCAGCTGCTTCTTAGTAATACGATAAACAAGCAAATAATCTATAAAACTAGAGAAAACAGGTAATGGTGTTCAAAGGTTAGTCGCTAAATTAACACTGAATTTGATTTGAGTCAAAGTTGTCATAGAATAACTCCCAGCCTCAGCAAATTAACCCCCTTACTGCCCAATGATCTTAGTCATTCTTTGATAGCATACATTATTTCTTAATGGCTTCTGGTCCAGAAACACTCCTATGAACTTAAAGCTCCATAACCGTGACGTAGCAGATTTGACTCCCTTGAATACCTCGGATTAAAATGCATAACCCTTTTCCCTCGTGAAATAGAGTTTGTTTAGTTGTTCTCCTAAACAAGATATGTGGCATAAACATTTAAGATTGACAAAAATAATGGCTCTGCTTCTACTTCAACTCTCACCACTGATATAATAGCAAAGTTTATTTCAAGTAAATGTTACTACTATCTCTAAGCAAGGAAAGTAAAAGAAGGATTTTTTGCTGAGGCATCAGTTCTTACTGTTTCTTTCGCTCCTTTCTCTTTGAACTAGTAATGCCCAGTTCAGCTGTATCAAACCGAAGGTCCTTCACTTCCTTTCTTTTTCTCTTTTTATTTCTCTTCTGATGTGCATTACTTTCTTCTGCTCCAACATCACTCAAACTGCTTTTGTCGTCGTTCCGTTTGTTACCTGCATTTTTAGCTTGAACTTGATCTTCTGAATGTATTCTCTGTTCAGGGACACATATAAGTCCAAAGTTTGAACACCTAATATAATACACAGAATGCATTCACATAGAAGGGAGAAAACACAAAAAACAATTGGAGGTTGTAGTAGAACAAACAGAAGGGAAGGAGAGAGAACTCAAGTTTCTTTGCTTAAGGATTCACAACAATATGAGAGTTACTCTAGACAAGAGAGAGCGGAAGTATACGAATTTATAATGACAAAGAGTAAACGACCATAATTGGAACAAGAAATAGTAAAAAGATCACTGGCATTGACAAAGGTACAACAATAGCATACAGAAGCATCGATTGTATTGGTCAAAATGGAGACTAACAGAAAATTCTTGAGACACTTCAACTATACTTTTATTTATTTATTGACAAGTTGAAATTGAATTTATTTTGATTAACTTAATTACTCCATATATGTAACAGGAACCCCCTACCCCACCCCCCCAAACAAGACGTATAGAAAAGTAGGAAGCTTACAAAAATATGATTCTCAAGAGAAAGCATCCAATTAATTATTCCAGAGATATATAGAGATTGTATTTTTTCAGTAAAAAACTTGAGAAAATATGTTTATACTCTTCTGGCACATGTAATAGCTACATAGAACAATATTTTTCCGGCAGATGGGGGCTGCAAAATCCGTCTAACATTCTTTAGCTTATAGAAGAAGACAAGTGTTGAAGACAGGAAAACTATGAGAGCAAAACAGTCTAACAAAGTTGCTAGGAAACCAAACTAGACTTAGCTGGGCTTGATTTAACTTGGTGTTTTCAAGCTTGACTGCTTACTTGAGCTGATCATAGATCTAATAGACCTATCAAGGAACACTTCTGAGCTTTTGAAGTGTGTTAATCACAATAAACTACACTTGCTCTAGGGATTGTGAATACATCATATATTTATCTGAAATGACATGTTTTTCCTGGTATTTGTTAATATGCATATACCAAAGCTATAACATGAGCAACCCCACCCCTTTACTACAGGAAGCTTAGATCCGGCTATACTCAAACTCTTCTGATTCACCCCTACATTCCCCACTTGTCTGATTGTTGCTGAGCAAGAGCACTCAACCAGTGAGCTATTACGCACTCTTTCAAGAGTTGCTTCTTCTAGGCAAACCTCCTAGCTGCATTGGCGGAGCCATATGTATTCAAGGGGTGTTAACTGATACCCCTTCATTGGAAAATTACACTGTGTAGTTAGGTAAAACACTCTTTCATATATATACTATACATTGACTCCCCTTGGCTCATTACTGTATATTTTGACACTCCTTAGCAAAAATCCTGGCCACACCACTATCTAGCTGTCTCTGCACCCCTGTCTCATTTATCACTGGACGGTCAATAAGAATCCTCATAATCATATTACTAGTATTGGACTATTACCTTTCTCTTCAAACAAAAAAAATCAAAAAAAAGTTTCATATTCATAAATTGGACTATTACTTGTATAAATACCGTTAAAGCCTATCTCAGTAAAAGAGTGGAATTTATCTTTTATTAACTAGAGGTTCCCAAACTCATGCAATTCCTGCACTGCCTACAACTAGCAGACTAAATAATTCCAAACTCAGCACTAAAACCAAATTGTACCGTACCACAAAATTTATCTCTACAAAGACAAGTACTATGAGAACCAACAGCATACCAAGTGAAATCCCACAAAGTGGGGTCTGGAGAGGGTAGAGTGTACCTTACCTTATGGAGGCAGGGAGGCTGTTTCGTAAAGAACGTCCGCTCAAGTGAAGCAAATCAAAGTAGTAATGGAAAAGTAAAAAACAACAATGAAGAAAACATGACAACTAGTCGGAAAGCACGGCAGAACATTCATTCATGAAAGGTACCATAACACTACCAACACACTGTGATTACCTAAACATAGTAAACAACATATAGATAGCATATACCAAAAGCCACTAACTACATGCATAAGGATAAAATAAGAACTACAAGGTCCCAACTTTCGATATGCAATTTTACCTTGCCATTAGCACTACCACCACTATCTCCTTTCTTCCTGTCTGCATTATCCGATGAACCTTTCCCATCCCCTAAAACAATAAATAAGAAAACCCCACTTTGTAAGAAACATTGAAAACTAAGAAAAATTATTACTTTCCACCAAAATTTCATGTACTAAATCAATTCACAAGCACGCATATACCTGAAAAGGCCATAATTTGACGAAGCTTAGAGGGAATGGCATCAATAGAAGAGGTGTTGGGTGGGGGAGGAAGTCTAGTAGTGCCTCCATGAGCTGCTCTGTAATTCTTCTCTCTTCTCTTCTTCCCTTTACCTCCCATTTTTGCTTCTTCTTCTTCTATGTGTCGACTCTGTAATTCGTTAAACCTTAGCACTCTCCTTACAACGTTGAAGCAGGAAGCATTAAATACAAATAGGTCCTCTTATTCTTTAAAAAGGTTAAATTGGGCATACAAGTTTTTATAATTACAATTAAACCATATACAGTATAGATGAAGAGTTTTTCTCATCCTTACGAGTCATTTGGTATGAGGTATAAAATATAATAATTCCAGGATAAAACGCAAGATGATTAGAAGTATTAGGTACTCCTTGGATTATTTATCTCATCATTTATATTTTACTGATGAGATAAATTATCCCATATACATGATAAAATAACTTAATTCCAACAACTAAACTACATTATTTATTTGAACTTATTTCAACAACTAAACAACTTTTTAACTCTAACTAGTTTTGACTCAATTCCAACAACTAAACCACCAACTAAACCACATTATATTAAATAATGAGTCAAACTAGCTAGGGGTTAATTAAACTTTATTTGAACTTATTTCTAACACAAACACATTATTCCTAAATTTAAAGCTAAGTGTCAACACTAGATTGACAAAAATTGATCTTGTAAGAAAATCAATTTTGTCATCAATAGGATCAACTAGTGTTGGTACTTATGCTTAACAAACACATTATTCCTAAATTAAAGCTTAATATCAACACTAGATGGACACAAATCGATCTTGCAAGAAAATCAATTTTGTCATCGATAGGATCAACTAGTGTTGGTACTTATGCTTAACAAACACATTATTCCTAAATTAAAGCTTAGTATCAACACTAGATGGACACAAATCGATCAGGCAAGAAAATAAATTTTGTCATCAATAGGATCAACCAGTGTTGGTACTTATGCTTAACAAACACATTATTTCTAAAATAAAAGCTTAGTATCAACACTAGAAGGACACAAATCGATCTTGCAAGAAAATCAATTTTGTCATCAATAGGATCAACTAGAGTTGGTACTTATGCTTAACAAACACATTATTCCTAAATTAAAGCTTAGTATCAACACTAGATGGACATAAATCGATTTTGCAAGAAAATCAATTTTGTCATCAATAGGATCAACTAGTGTTGGTACTTATGCTTAACAAATATATTATTTCTAAATTTAAAGCTAAGTGTCAAAATCGATCTTGCAAGAAAATCAATTTTGTCATCAATAGGATCAACTAGTGTTGGTACTTATGCTAAACAAACACATTATCACCTAATTTAAAGCTAAGTGTCAACACTCGATGGACACAAACAAATTATCACAAAATTAAAACTAAGTATCAATACTAGATGGACACAAACACATTATAAAAAACAATTCTACTTGAACTTTAGAAATTTAGAAACACTAAACCTTATCTCCTACTTTGATGAAAGAAGCAGTATAGTCATGTATCAAACTTTTTTAGATGTTGAGCTTACTCAGTTATCTAGCACGAAAAGAAACAATTTAAAATTTCTTTAATGGTCATTATAGAGAGATTTAGTCATTATTAACAGTTGACAATTAGTAAACAAGTTTGTGTTGTTTTTTCTTTTCCTTGATAATTCAAAATAGGTTTCTCCTATTTTCAATACTTCCTCTCTTTTTTTCCACTAGTTATTGTGATGTATATGTTACCATGAGGGTGTGGTCCATATTCACTAGTATTAAAATTGATAGACAGCTGCCTAAAGAGACACTCCCCCACATAGTTTACATACGCACATGAGTAGTTAATGAGTCTTCTATGACAATTGATCCAATGGTTGAAAAAATCTAAATATAGATTCAAAGAAACCTTAAGTAAGAAGCCAATTGACAGCTTCATTAGTATACTCTAAACTCTAAAAAATAGAAAATTTATATTTTCCATGCACAGAAAACTACAGGAACAATAAAATACTCAATAGCCAGAAATAAATTACAAAAATTTACCAAACAAGTGTTGAGCTTTAAAGGCTTATAGGTTAAAAAGGCACCTTGAGTAAGACCCACAACACTAGAGAACCAAAAAATCTTCAAAACCCAGAAATCAAGTACAATAAAAGAGCTCACTTTTCAAGGATTTATAGCTTAAACTCAAAGAAACCTCAAGTAAGAAGCTAATTGACAGTTTCATTAAGCTACTTGTACACTCTATAAACAGAAAATTTGTACTTTCCATGCCAAAAAATTCCCAAAACCCAAAAATTAATTCACAAAAAAAGAGCTCAAATTCGAAGGGGTTACCTCAAGTAAGAAGCTAATTAACAGTTTCATTAAGCTACTCTAAACTCTAAACCAGAAAATTTAAATTTTTTATTTTTCATACCAAGAAATCCCCAAGACCTAGAAATCAATTCACAAAAAAGAACCCAAACAGATAAGAGTTTACAGTTTTTCACCTTGAGTAAGAAGGTCGGGGATGGTGGCGCGACCTCCTGCTGCTGCTGATCGAGGCGACGCCGGTCTGGATGGTGGCGCGACCTGCTGCTGCTGCTGATCAAGGCAGCGCCGGTCGGGGATGGTGGGGGTGGGCGCCGGTCGGGGTTGGGTCGGGGATGGGTGGGCTCGAGAGAGGAGTGAGAGATGAGTTAGGGTTTTGAGATTATCATTTTTTCTTTAAAAGAGTGTTAATTTAGCAATAGGCATGTCGATATTTTTTAAAATAATTATCTATATTTAATAAAATCAACTTTGTGAAATTGATATTATTTAAATAAAATAAATTAACCTTAAGATCGATATTTATTAATTTATTTTAATATAAACTTAATAAAATCAACTTTGTGAAATTGATATTATTTAAATAAAATAAATATATCAATCTCTTAAGATCGATATTTATTAATTTATTTTAATATAAACTTAATAAAATCAACTTTGTGAAATTGATATTATTTAAATAAAATAAATATATCAATCTCTTAAGATCGATATTTATTAATTTATTTTAATATAAACTTACCTTGAGGTTGATTTTATTAATTAAAATTACTTTTATATATTACTTACTTTACTTATATTACTTATATTTTATACTATATATAAGAGGCTAGGAAAGCAGCTCTTCATCCACATGTTTGCTTCTCTTGCCGGGGTAATATGAACAATTTTTAATACTTTTTTAATATTAATACTTAAAAAATGTTGTACTTAGTTATTTTGTAATGGTATCTTTTTAATTTGGGACATAAAATTCCTTTTGCATTTCACTTTTCAGCCGCAAAAATTTGCCCAGTTTTCATGCTAAAAGTAGATGGAGTGATCAAGCGGCCCTTCTTGCGCCAACATACATCCAATGGCATAGAGTGATGCGTCAGTATGAACATGGAACTCCTTATTCCAATTTGGAAATCGAAGGATTGGGGCTGACAGCAAACACTCATCTGCATGCTTAAAGGCTTAATCATGTTCCGGTTCCCAAGCCTTATACCTTTCTTCTGTAATAATTCCATTATGGAATTCCGCGCTTCGAAAAGTCTTTTTTGATCGTCATTCCTTTATCCATTTTCCCTCTATCTATTAATGCATATACATATAAATAACATATAGGTCCCACTTCTTATTTTTGAATACCTAACTTCATTTTCTTTCCCTTTATTTCTACCTCATAAGTCATAACTTCTTTCATTTTGTTTTTCTACGGCAAAATCATTTTTTATAATGATAATTATATTTTTTTTATCAAATATTGAAATATTATGTCTTTTTTTGTAAAGTGTTATATATCTATATAAATAATATTATAAATCACAATAATTAACAACTTAAATATTTAAAGGTTATACGAAAAAATTAATTAACTCTCGAAATTCTATTAGTATCAATTTATAAATCACAATAATTATCAATTTAAAAAATATAAAATACATATAAAAATTACTTGACTGTAAAAGAAATTGGCAATGCTAATAAATTGAGACACGAGACATAACATATATGATTTGAAAATTATATTAAAAAGATACTATAAATTACAATATTTAATAATTTAATATATTTAATTGAAAAATATTTAATTTTTGAAACTTTATATATGCCACATAAATTGAAACAAAGAGAGTAATATATATTATTTTTTAAATTATATAAAAAAAGTACTAACAACTTAAAATCTTTTTTAAATCATATAAAAATTTGGCTAACTTTTCAAGTTCCATGATACTCCATCCGTCCCATATTAATTGACTATTATTCTAAAAATGGTTATCTCATATTAGTTGATCACCTTATTAAATCAACAAAACATTATTTAAAATTTTCCTATATAACCCTTGCCATTAGTTCCTTTTGAAAGTGTCACATTTGTTTGTAAAATTCTCATAAAGTTTTTTAAGAGTTGAATTAGTAAAGTTATTTTCTTATTTATAATTTCTTAAGCACGGTACAAAATGAAATGAGACGAACGGACTGCCACATAAATTGAAATAAAAAAATACTAGCATATATTGGATAAAAAATCAACATATATTGGGCATCGTGCTGGCACGGGGTCATGTATCTAGTGTATGTGTGTGTGTGTGTATATATATATATATATATATATATATAAATTATATAAATTTAATTTAACTACACATCAACAGAAGTTTAATTTTATAAATTTAAATTATATACCTCCTAATTATATAAATTTAATTTTATCGATCAACAGAAGTTTATCAATATCAAATTTAATATATAAATCTCCTTGAATTGATCTTCGGTATTTCTTTAATTGATAATGTATTTCATATCTGAACCACTAATATATAAGAGTTGATTTGTTAAACTACTCGAGGAGTATATAATCAACGTATTTCATACTCCGGTGAATTATCCTTTACATGTCATTGCGTACGATATGATCAATACACTTGACATACATTCAAGATCGAACGTAATAATCTTGATAGAACTTGGTTTGTACAGTACTTTACGATGTTCTATTGTCTATTTCATAAAACGAGATAAGACATTGAAGATTATACGTACAAATAATTAAACAATTTATTATAAATATAAAATTTAATTAATTGTTATCATGACATTTCTACGAGTATCATCTCGCATGTCATACTCGGATGGATTATATGTTAGTTCTTCATCTCTACATCATTACATGAGATATTAAGTTCATGATTTGACGACGGACTGATTGAAATTGTACATTACTCTAGAAATATAAGTATAATTATCTCCTAATTCATATCAATGTAGTTTCATACTCTAAATATGGATTATTGATATTTTTTGTTTATTCCACGAATTTTAATTTTATTTATAAAAGTATACAAAAATTTTATACTTTTTAAAATAATTAATTGTAGGTGTAAAATGAAAATTCAGTATAATGCACAATAGCAGAATTATAATTAACATGAATTTTTTAAACAAACCGACCTCCGGATGTCGCTTTTATTAAAAGTAATTAGATTAGATAAAAAATACCGACCTCATGAGGTCGGTATCACATTAAAATTAAGATAAATAAAAACTAATCATGCTAATTAAATAATATTGACATCGAGAAGTTGGTATTTATATTAATTTATTTTTTAATTATATAAAACCGTCATCCAAAGGACGATTTATTTAAATAATACACTTTATTGGAATTTAACTTTTGCAAGTAAAACTCCAAGACTATGCAATGGAGTTTGAATTTATACTATTGAACTTCTAGGATATTTTTCAAACTTCGGCGCACTATTTTAGAGTTCCATATGTAAACATTTGAGGAAATTTCATAAACAACTATATTTGTCTATTTGATTTTGTCCCGATTCAAATGAGATAAAGGAAACATCTTTCCTTTTCCTCCTCAATGGTTTCGAGGATTCATCTTGATGAGTCATTCAGATGATTTTTTCGGTCTGGAGACCGTCTTCAATAGTCTCATCAATCTTGACTATCTCACTAAACTTCCCTCCTAAAATGAGCAACATCATATTGTGGTACTCCGGCTCTTGAATGCGCACAAAGATTTCAATAATTTCTTTCTCGGTCATAGGAGGCCTAACCCTTGCAGCCTCTCTTCTCCAACGGTAGGCACACTCTCAATAGCTTTCAGTAGAATTCTGTTTGATTCTCTTCAAAGAGTATCGATCGAGAATGAATTCTACATTGTAACCAAGCCTTTCAATGAAGTCTTTAGTCAAAGCATTCAAACTTGGCCACTGCTTGATTTCTTTAAAAATAAACTATTTCAAAGCTTCTCCTTTTAGACTTCGACTAAAGAGTCGCATTAACAAAGTTTCATCTTTCCCTATTCCCACAATTTGGTCACAATAAGCCCTCAAATGAGTAAAAGAATTTTCAACTCCACTAAAAGTGTCAAATTTTGGTACTTTAAAACCTTCTGGAAGCTCCAAATGTGGATGAATGCACAAATTTTCATAATTCAACCCCACAAAGTCTGGGTGTATTGAAA